TGAAGGTCAAATTAGGCAAACTGCCTGTTACCCCAAGAAATCCAAACTACATGTTAAACTGTATATTGTTTTTCTTGTAAACCAAATATACCATGAGTAATCTCACTGCAGATTAAAAGCTGCACATCTGATTGCCTTGTGAGTCAGATCAATATCCTTCTAGATGTGAATACAGTCTTTGAAATGAAATCTTGTTATACCAATAAAATAAAAACCAGCAGGATCTTATTAAAGGGAAAAAGGCAAAATACCACATTTATTGTGAATACAGAAAGAATCATAGTAAGCAGTTAGTTCTAGTTATAACATTCCATTCAATCTCATATTTATTCACACATTCATTCATACAAACACACACACACACATACAGGTTCTGCAAGGTTGTTATCATAGTTACCAGCCTTAGAGTTGCTCATGCCAAGCCACTGGCCAGGTGGCCTGGACATGAGGAGGGAACAGGGCCTTGTCAGGTGCTCATCTGATGCTCCTGGAAGTTGGTTTGCAGAATCAGACCCCAAAGTTCTCACTTTTTAGAGTCTATTTTTATAGGAATTTCTTCCTATGCCAGTCTATGGGAATTGCTTCATCATGCTGTTGCTGAATCAATCAGCAGATAGCACATTCCTGACGGCTCCAAGATGTTATCTTGTTCTTTGGTTCTCCCATTCTTGAGGCTGTTGGGTGGATTCCAGTCTGCCCTCCGGGGGGGTCCTCTGGTTATTTCCACTTGACGCCTTCTTCAGCCGATGGACACTGGATTCTTAGGCTGGCACCTCCCTGATCATTCAGTTATTATCCACACCAAGCATCCATCCACATACATCCTCTATCTCTATTTTAATCACAATTGTTAATACAACAAAAGGGCAGGGAGTCTCTAGGTGCTGTTTCTGTTGTTACAGAGTATTGCTTTGAGAATAGACTCTGTCTTAGAATGTACTAACACAATTAGCAGCTTGCAAGTTTCACACATAGAGGGAGAGAAACAGTACCAAAAACCAAGAGACCTCTTAATTATTAATACCCTGGAATTTAAACTCTGGGGAATCAAACTCATTTGTGATTTTAATACAGAACTTCTTTAATATGATCCAACAATCTAACCACTTGTTGTTTACTGGATACTGATGGAAGCAACAGAAAAACTGAAAGAGCTGAAATCTGAGCATTTACTGGGCACGTACGCAATAGAAATCAGAGGATGGTCCCCTCCATCAAGCCCTAAAACTAAGGTATATAAAGCTGAAGTCACCAAGTGCTCAAGAAAGTTGACTGAACCCATCAAGTAGCTGCAGAATCTTGAGTGCAACTGACACTTGGACTAGCTGTGTGGAAAGGACTCTTCTCCCATCTCAGAGTTAAGAAGGATAACAACAAGCGGTTAGATTTCATTTCAAAGATTGTATTTCCCCTTTTATCCTTTAACATAAATAACTGTAGTCTGCACTCTCTGGTGAGACCTCAAGTAACCATATTTTAGATTTTAACTCCTTTGTAAGTCCAAGCAAACTGGCATATGACTGAAAATCATAACTTTAAGTAAATGCTTTTACTATTCTAAACGTGTCCCTTTTTGATCAATCAAGTCAAAGAGTAGTGATCACACTCTTAAAAGTGCATCCTTGGAAGTGTGATAAATGTTAGGAATTGAGAATTTATGATAGTAAGTAAATGTAATAAGAAATCTTGGTGATTTGCACTGTTTCTTGATGTAACTACTGAGCCCCAATTCTAGTATGTGGTAACTGCTTGCAAGACGACTGGATGTGTAGTATAGACCTAGAACACTGGTTGTATCTATACTTGAGTGGTGAACCGTTGCCTATATACTGATGTGATTCTGGGTGAATTAATAAGTTGTTATTTAGTTAAGAATAAGCAAATGTTCTGATTTGAGAAATACTCTTCCATTTAAAAGTTGACCTGAAAAGAATCCAGTGTTTAAAACTATAAAAAACTAATACTCCCCTGACTCAGTAAAAAGGGGTTATCTTATTAGATACCATTCTATATTGGCTATTAAGTTATCCAATTGGCAAACCAAGTTGGTTAGATTTCAACATAAGAATGGCCATATTGAGTCAGACCAAAGGTCCATCTAGCCCAGTATCCTGTCTTCTGACTGTGACCAATGCCAGGTGCCCCAGAAGGAGTGAACAGAACAGGTAATCATCAAGTGATCCATCCCATTGCCCATTCCCAGCTTCTGGCAAGCAGAGGCTAGGGACACCATCTTTAAAATGTAACTGGCATCTCAGTAAGTTCATAAAAATTGATCTTCTTTCACACTTACAAAGCCCTTCAGAAAATCTAACAGATTATGTGTTGCCACTGAGAAAACAGTCTTTCTCGTTAAATTAAAACGTGTACTGAGCATTGTTATACATTGGCCAAAGAACTGGTACCTCTGGGTTTAAAGACGCGTTATGTAGCTGCCGATGTAGCATGTCTGAGACAGATCCCGATTGTAGGGATTTGCAAAGAAAGAATAAGGAGTTCTGTTCATATATTCACTAAGCACTACTAATTGGATGTGGCACAGTGATCCAATGCTTTGTTTGGTAAAGTGGTGCTACAGTTTTTTCCCTAGAACTCCTTGCCCTTCACTGTCTATGGTGAGAGTGGGGGCACTGTGCTAATCTCCCATACAGAGGAATGCACAGAGACCCTTAAGGAAGTAATGAAGGTTACTTACTAATAACAGTTGTTCTTCAAGAGCTACCTCTGCATTCATGCTGCCTACCACCTTTCCCTCTGCCTTAGGAATCTGTAGGCTAGGGAGAAGGAACTGAGGTGGTCAAGATGAGGAGTGGGTTCCTCCTTATATATATTAAGCCAATGATGTCATCTTAGCAGGAGAGCACTACAGTGCCCCACAGCGGAAAATGCTTTGTTGTATAGTTCCACAGCTCAAGACTAGAGATGCCAAATCCCTAACTTGTGAATGCACGCAGGCAACTCTCGAAGAACAATAGTTATTAGTAAGTAATGCATTTTCCTTAAATACTAATTAATGGAACTTTATATGATTGTTTACGAAGAGAGCTCCTAGATTTAGAAAATGTATTAAATTAGCTCCTTAGTTTTAGGAGTAAGAATTGTTAACATAAAATAAATTAGTGGTTTGAAGCCAGAACGCACTACTTAGTAGACCCGGATGGGAAACTGTTTATCCACCCATGAAAATTCTCAACATTTCAAAAATGTTCACGTTCCACAGCAGGACCAACCTAAGATCTTTTGGAAACCTTCATGAAAAAAACATAACAGAGACACCCACTCCAGCCTAGCTAATAGCACAGAAGCTAGGGCATTCACCCAGGATGTGGGAGACCCAGGTTCAAGTCTGTGCACCTCCCACAGTCTGAGTGAGTGCCCTAGCCACTAGCCTGTTAGCTAGGCTGGGGAGGGTGTCTCTCTCAGACCAGAAATATGTTTCAGCAAAAAAGTTCCAGTGTAGATGAAGCGACATTTCCCAATGAGAAATCCTTCTATCAAAAAATTCCTGACCAGCTCTACTTAGTACTTTTCTATTAATACTTCCCTATTAATAATTATTCCAGCACAGAAAGCTTCACACACAATTAAGGTGCCTTACATTCATTCCCAAAACATACACTAAAAATACAGAAAATCCTTAGTTCAGGTTTTTTCACAAACTCTGGCCTTGATTCAGCAAGGTACTTATAATATTCCTAACTACCTTACTAAATCAGGACCTTTAAAAATTACTTCTTCTTTCATGTATAATATTAGACAATAGCCTCACAAATAAGGCCTGGCTTACATTTAAATTTGAGGTTGATGTAGCAAGAAAGGTCAGGGGTAAAAATCCATACCCTTGAGTGCCATAGTTATGCTGACCTAACCTCCAGTGTAGACGTAGCCAGGTCAACAGAAGAAGGCTTCTGTCGACCTAGCTGCCATCACTCCGGATGCTAGTGTTCCTAGAGTGATGGAAAGACCCTTTCTGTCACTGAAGGCTGTGTCTACACCAAGGATCGGCAATCTTTGGCACGCGGCCCATCAAGGAAATCCGGTGGCGGTCTGGGACGGTTTGTTTACCTGCAGCATCCACAAATTTGGCTGATTGCAGCTCCCACTGGCCGCAGTTTGCCGTTCCAGTCCAATGGGGGCTGCAGGAAGCAGCGTGGGCCAAGGGATGTGCTGGTCGCCGCTTCCTGCAGTCCCCATTGGCCTAGAATGGCGAACTGAGCCAGTGGGAGCTGCAGTCGGCTGAACCTGCAGATAAACAAACAGTCCTGGACTGCCAGCGGATTTCCCTGACGGGCCATGTGCCAAAGGTGGCAACCTAGATCCCTGGTCTACACTAAGGGATGACTCAGGCGTAGCTACTGTGCTGTATCTATGCTGCTATAGTCTCTGTAATGTAAACATGGCCTAAGTATAAGTAAGTCATCAAATTTTTCATATCATCCCTAATTGAGCTTTTAAAATACCTGGACTCTTATGTGATGCGAGTCTAGGAAGAAAATATTTGTTTTTTCTTCTAAGGTTAATGGAATAAGTCCCATACTTTAGCTGCATTTTTAAACACAACCTTAGTCATGGAGTTGAAACCAGCCCCACCATAATGTTTGAAGAGAGATTACCTAACTAATATGTTTTGCAAACAATGTGAAGAAATTGACCTGTCATTAAGAAATAAGGAGGAAATTATGTGACCAGATTATGTAATATATTCTTTCACAAAACTGTGCCCGAATAGGTACACACTAAGATTTCCAAGAAAGTCTTTAAGCAATTGAACATGTACATATTGTACCTTTAGAAAAATCTTAGATTTTAAAATTCCTGTTTGACAACTAATTGAACAATGAGTGTGTCATACAAAAAGACTGACAAAATCAATAATGAGAATTGCACTTTTCACCTATAAAATGGTTTCAATTAACTTACTCTTTATCAAGGGTTAAACTTGATTCTTATCAATCAACACTTCGTTAGAAAAATACACTTTTTTGTTTTTGTTTTTATAGGATGACATGACTTCATTTTACAACACTCCCCCAATGGGAAAAAGAGGAACATGCAGCTACTTGACTAAAGCTGTGATGAATTTATTGTTGGAAGGGGAAGTGAAGCCAAGCAGCGATGATCCTTGTACCATTAGCTAAACTTCAGAAAGAAATATAGGAACCATTGCTTATTTAGGTTTTAGTGTTGTTTTGCATGTGATGTTTAATTCCTATTTTGAAGAGTAGTCATGGGCAGCAATATAAATCTGTACCATCCTTCACTGTGATAAACAGAATTGCTTAGGGTAGTAAATACCACAGCTGATTTGGCAATAAAAATAAATATATTTAATCAAGAAAAAAATCTCAACAGCAATCAGCAATCTTCACCTAAATGTCAAAATAGTGTGCTGACTGAAAATTATGCATGAAGCATGACATACAGTTCATATTAAATGAGCCCAATGATATTTAAATAAAGTTGGCTGGGCCTGTATTTTTGGTTTTGCAACTGTTTAAAAACAAATGATACGCTTAGTTATTTGTGTAATTTTGAACTAACAGTTTATGCAAGATTTATTACCTCTTTCTTCCATTTGTACTGTAGTTCATTACAAAATGCTGTAATGTAAATGCTGAGTAAAATACAAAATGCAAAATGTAAATGCTGAGTAAAATACAGCCAGAATTTTTAAAAAACAGAATACATTTGAACTAATGGTTAGCACCCAAAACAGATGGACACTTAACATAAAAGCTAGAGTGGTTTTGTATTTGGTCACCTTAGTCAAAGTGGAGGTAAAATAAAAACAATATTCTGCACAAAATACTTTCTTTACAATTCAATTTAATTTGTATAACGTATGAGAATTGTTTAGGGTTTTAATGGCTTAGTTATAACCTGATTACACAGATTGAAGACAGCCAGAAAATGAATACAAAATATGTAGAATTGCTTTTTATATTTTAAATAAATGTCATTGCAGCTAACCACATGTTCAAAAGTTTGTATGAGATTTATAAATTAACAGTGGAAACATTAGTTAATATGGGATGGAAATTTTTAAAAATGTATTTAATTGAAATTAATGTTGGGAAGATGATTGAAGAGAGACTTTCATTAAATATAAGCGTTTGACAAGTTCTTTCCTGTATTGACCGTTTATTTGTCTCCTAGGCTTGATTATTACAGAATCTACAGATTCAAACTAACCCTGCTTGAATTATTTTGAAGAAGGTAGTTTCCACGTTCCTTTATAAAAGCTTGCTTTTTCTATCAGTAACAATGCCCTTAGAGTCTGATCCAGATCTTGTGGGAAGGACTCCCATTGGCTTTTATTGGATGAGGCCCTTTTGAGCATATATCATCAAAACAGCTGTTGTGACAGAATAAAATATGTTCAACTGATTGAGACTTGTGTATAGCATTGGAAATCTAATAAATGGTGATCCACTACAAGTATGTTTACAATAAGTTTTTCCTTTAAATCTGTATTAAATACATAATAGTGAAATTGAGCCACAGATATATGGTGAACAGAATATGAAAATGATGAAATGAAGATCAGCGCAGTTTAAGTACCTACGCAGAAATGAATTTAGGACAGGTGTTCTCTGATGATGGTCATGGACCTATAGTAATCTACAGACCTTTTCCTGGTGATCACAATTAAATAATTCTGGAACCACATGGTGAGGCGATTGATTGTTGAGTAGAGAAAGGATCCCTCTCTAAGTGGTCTACAGAATTAAAAACAAATTTGAAAACCTCTTGTTTTCAGCCTAATAGTAGGAGTTAAAAACAGGTGCCATTGGCCTTTTAGTTTCAAAATATTTTTAAACACCTGCAAGAGAAGTTAGGTAAAAATATTAACACATTTATCAGAACATTGCAAGACTTAAATCTGATTTAAAGTTTACAATCTCACAATGACTGATTCAGTGAAGCCAAGTTTATTCTATATGCACCAGCTGTTACAAATCACTGAACGAACAGCAGTTTGTTTTATTACCTGGCCCTCATAATAAGTCATTTTTATTTCATCACTTTGTGGTGCTATCAGAGTCCTACAATGTTGCATTCAACTATCAGAATTTTTTCAAAAACCAAATTGTTTCTAATATGTTTAAAAATGATGAAATACTGTCAGCTGAATATCACAGTGAACTCTCAGCACATTGAGTAGGAGGTTTTAAAGAGACTGGATTGCGGAGACAACTTCTTGCTGCGATTGTGTCATCAAGAGGTAGTCATCCAGGTATGCGATGACTGTGTGTCCTTGTTGTTTCATGTGGGCTGCTACCACCATGAATACCTTTGTGAATGCTTGTGTCATCACGCTGCTGAATGGGAGGACATGGAACTAGTAATGTTGGTGTCGCACTGTGAAGCGGAGGAATTTCCTATGAGATGGGTGGATGTCTACATGGAAGTATGTGTCTTTCATGTCAAGAGCTGCGAACCAAGCTCCTGTTGGAGGGAATAACTGATGCCAGTGTTATCATTCAGAACTTTAACTTCCTGATAATGTAGTAGCAGGTGAAGAACTAAGATGGGTCTCCACACATCACCCTTCTTCAGGATGAGAACGTATGGTGAGTAGAAGCCTTTTCCTTGGTATTGGGGAGGGAGGCCCTCTATTGCACCCTAGAGGAGCAGGGCTTTGGCTTCCTGTTGAAGAATCAGTTGATGGGAGGGATCCTCGGCGGGGCTCAGGTGGGAGGGCAATGAAGTGGAAAGGAGAGAAACTCTGAAGTATCCATGGTGGATGATCTCCAGTACCCAACTCTCCAGGGTGATCTTGCCCCAAGGGTGAGCAAATCAGGCATTTCAGCAGCTGAAGATGATGGGCAGGTGAGGTGGTTGACATTGGAGGTGGGTCGCGGGCCTCAAACTGCATATCAAAAGACATCCTTGCCCTGCAGCTGGGAGAGGGACAAGGAAGTTGTAGTGGCAGAGAATTGGGTTCTCTGGGACCTCTGGCACTTCATTGATCTTTGATGGATGATCGTAGTAGGATGGGTAGGTTGTGTGAGGCCGTGGTCAAAAGGGCTACCTCGGGTTTGCGCCTCGGAGCTGGGATTCCCAGGGATTGCAGGGTGGACTATGAGTCCTTCAGAAAGTGCAGGGACTCATCCATCTTCTCACAGAAGAGGTTGGCCTCATTGAAATGGAGGTCTTCATGGTATTTTGGACCTCCCTGGGGCAACCAGAGGGTTGCAGCCATGAGTCCCTGCACATCACAAGGCCAGTGGCTTGCGAGCAGGAAGCAATGTCAGCTGCATCTACTGCAGCCTAGAGGGCCACCTTTGCCATTAAGCACTCTTCATCTATGAAGGCCTGAAACTGGGCATGGTCATCTGTAGGAAGCTCATCATTGAACTCTGCTAGCCTGTTGTATGTGTTAAAATCATACTTGGCTAGTAGAGCCTGATAGTTCACGATACAGATCTGTTGGCCCGCTGAAGAGAAGACTTTCCTGCCCAGAAGGTCCAGTCACTTGGAGGACTTGTCAGGTGAAGTGGACATCTGCAGTTGTTGCTAAGCCCATTCCATGGCCACCTGGACAACCAGTGAGGTGGGGGCCTGGTGCGTGAATAAAAAATCAGCCCCTTTAGCCAGCATGGAGTAGCATTTCTTGGACTCCCTTTGGAGTGGGGGAACACATGGCTGGTATAAGCCACACTGTTCAGGCCAGTTCCAGGATGGCCTTGTTTATCAGGAGAGCCACCCTAGAAAGTCCTTGTGACTGGACAGTGCCCTGGAGATGATGTGGGTTCTGGACTTCTTCCAAGGAAATCTGCAGATCTGCAGCCACCTTCTACAGCAGTTCCTGACACTGCCAGTGATCGTCTGGGGGAAGGAGTGGGAGAGAGATGATTGCCTCACTGGCAAAGACGAAGCTCTGGTTGGGACTGTCAGTGCTGGAGGTACCAACTTGATGTCTTCCTCTTCGTACATCGATGGTGCAGGATGGTGCGTGGGGGAAGCACGGTGACCCTTGTGACAGCTCCGGACATCTCTGCTATGGGTCCCAGAATGAGAGGTCCCCCTGTCTAGGTGAGCCCCTGTCCTGAGTGGATCCTAGGCAGGAAGGTAAGGGTGCCTGGGCCATGTGTCCATGCTCCTACGTGGCAGTGGTGATGCTGGCGATGCTGTGTCCAAGGACTCCTCAGAGTCAGATGGCAGTTCTGTCAGAAGAAGAAGTACTGCGGGTACCCAGAGGACTGCAGTGTGGCGTAGAAGAGTGGGGCATTTCCTGCAGCAGCAGTAGGGGTTCATCCTCTGGTATGGGAACTCCATGGAACAGGGTTAGGCCTGAGAGAAGTGGAGACTGTGGGTATGGCAGAATCACCTCCTCTGTTGTAAGGAAGGTCTCTGTGCATCCAGCAATCCGGGGAGTACCCATAGTCACTCTGGAGGGGCTCAGTGAAGTAGCTGGAGTTGGCCCGTCTGTCTGGTGGTGAGACGGCACCATTGGAGAAGTCAGGGTCATGCTCGCACCTGGGCGGTCTGACTGTCTCCGTACTAGGATCACCGGCCGTATCAATGGATCCCATTTGTTTTTGGCCTTATCCTCCAGCCAGGAGGTCTTCGTCACTGGTCCTGCAAGATCTGCATGCAACATCTCACCCGACCAGGCACAGCTCAGGGAAGGAACACTGCGCTTATGAGCAGTTTGCTGTGGGGACCCTCTCTTGTACCCGTGAGAGTGTGTCTGGCTCTCATGATGGGGTTTGTCCTTTGTGGTGGTGGCTCCACACCTTGTGGGGTGCTCGGAGGGGCACTCACAATCAGCAGCAGCTGCTGCACAGGGGAATCATCCTGGGCAGGATCCAAGTGTACTTGGGGCCTCATTGCCTCTTCCATCAGGTACTTGGGGAGGCAAAGCTCACAGGCCTCTCTGATTCTGGGCAAGAAGGCCTTAGATAGCGCACATTGCCCAAGATGTGAGCCTCACCCAGACAATAGAGACACTGTTGATGCTCATCGCTGATGGAGACAGGAAAAGGACAGGAGACAGATCTTGAAGCCCAGGATCCCGGGCATAGTCCCCGGGGTGGTTAGGGGTTTGAGTCCCCTGAGCAGGGAAGTTATATACTACACTACTCTATGCTATTCAAGCTAAGTTAAGTAACTCTATAAACTACAGTAGACTACAAACTATCTGGAAACGCGAAGAGCAACTCTCTTAGCTAGCTAAGGCGAAGAAGGAACTGGCTTTCTGAATCGGGCCATGGGGTGGTAAGAAGCAACTGGAGTGGTGTCGACCTGCATTGCCCCTTATACCCTTGGTCAAGAGTACGGGGAGATACACTACGCACATGCAGGTCAATGGACACTGCTTGGAAATCTTTCCAAACTCAGGTAAATGGTACGCATGCACACTCACATGTGGAATACAAATTGGGACCATCACTCGAAGAAGAATAATATTTTTTCTGTTCTGTGCAAATTGAATCCCACTGAAAGCCAGTTTCTGATTTTAAAGGTTATTTCTGAGCCACCAGGACGCTGCTGAACAGTGGCATCGATAGTGACACCAACTTGTATGGAGGCCTAATGTCAGAAATCACTTACCCGTTTCCAATGTGCAGTTTATTTAGTTTAGAATTGAAATCAAATATTAAGCTTTAAATAGCAAAGTTTTTCTTTTGCTTGTTACACCGCAGAGATGCTATTTTTGCAACTTGTTTGACCAGCTGGCCCCTGTTTTGACTTCTTCACTCATGATCCATTCTTTCAATACAATATTGCCAGCTATGATGAGTTTCAAGCTTGCTAATTTTAATCAGAATCTTTCAATTCAATTGATATTTTTTGCTGATGGCAAGAAATACTTTTCCTCATGCAAACTCTTTGGAATACAATCTGTGGGAAAAAAGGGTTCTGTTTTCCCTCATAACCTTCAAACCAACACAGTTCACACATTTTATAAAATTGTAATCGAAGTGATTTTTCAACTTCTATAAAGTAAGGATAAGTAACTGGAGTATAAAAGGCAAATACCAAAAACCAGCAGAGTCAGCACTCATTTAAGAAGCTCTCTCGCATACTGGAAGAACAGTGCCATCAATCTTCTCTAATCCTTCTGAAATAGCAACAGAAAAGGAGTCTGCCATAAATGGCTTCTTGTTTTGGAGC